GACTGTTCTCATCATAATTGGTCCCATTCTGCTTTCGTCTGGTATGTGATGTTGTTTACATGAAGTCACACACTTTCTTAATGGAAATACTTTATACTCCATTTTAATTATAATATTTGTTTAGTTTGCAGACTTAGGATTACCTAGCATTCTTAATTTTGACTCTTCCTGCATACCTAGAAAGGTGGAATACACAGAATTTGAAAGGATAATTGACCCTTCTCACTTATAAAAGCATAAATCCCCATAGAGGAGCAAAACCATTCCTCTCCATGTGGAAAAGGAAGCATATGGAGCAGGCATACTAACCTTTCATCTGTTTTACTTTAGGTTTCACTAATAATTCCAGACATTAGTTGAATTTGGGGGAATTTTATTCCATGTGCCCTTTAATCCACTACATTGCTGCACTATATTCCATTGTTGTTTTTTAAACATTCTGTACCATTGAGAACTTTATTTCCTTTGCCATTTGCTATTCTATATTTATTCTGTGTATACTATGCTGTGCTATATTATGGATCAGTGTGTTTGCTCAGGGAAGATGAAGTGCTCATTAAATCTTCTGTCTGGAAGAAATGGAGACTCGTACAGCATTATTCAGCCTGGAATCTGGCTTGCCTCCTGGAGTATGAGTTAGGTGCCCATTTTCCTTACTCCACTGAAGTATCATATTGTGTATTTATCATAGTTAGATTCCACCAAAGTCAATGTTGGCTCAGATAACCAATTTCCTCATCAGACTCAAGTTTCCTATAAGTTAGGGACTGTGCTGTGTTTGCTTCTTCCCTTCTTTCTTAGTGCTCTTCAGTTCTTTCCTTTCAAGGCCAGCCTGCATTCTGCTTCCACTGGTTTCTGATTACCATACAACCCTCACTGCCCACTGGCTGCCGTACCATACTTTCTCTCACTGTTGACGCTCCAGATTTATTTCTGTGACATTTGTCAAATTACATCACTTGTTTAATTTTCTGCTTCCAATAGAATATTCACTCTATGCCTTTTATCACCTCGACTAAGTTATAATGAGATCTTATTATACATCAATCTTCTCCCCACTACACTGTGCCATGCACAGCATGACACATGTTCATTCACTCCAAAACAGCATTTGGTCAAACGAAATACCCCTTCCTTCATAAGTTACAACATATATGTGTATGAACTAAATGATAGGCAGTATGAAAATATTTGTGTACCTGAGTGTGTGTATGGATATATACATAGAAATGTATCCTTTATCAAATAGAAATTGAGATTATTTGAAGCTTTATTTAATCTGAGATGCCTTTCTAGATACTCAAAGTTTTTGTAAGGTGCCCTTTTTCCTTACCCATTAGTATGTTCATCTATTTTAGATTCTAATGATTGAAAATTATTTTTATATGTGTGTGCTCGAATACATTTATTGACTACCTATTACATTGTAAGCATTATAATCTTTTACTTGGGAATTTATCAAAGGAAATCCAAACTATCTTTCTACTTGAGCTTCATTGGGAAAAGCAGTTCTGATCTTCATCATAGATTTTAATGTTTTTTTTCTTTCTTCCCAGTGTTGGAATTGAACCCAGGGCTTCATGCACACTAGGCTAGCCCTAGTTATATTCCCAGCCCAATTTTTAACTTGTAATACAATATTCAAATAGTTTTAGTAGGAGTTAGCTGATATTGAACACACTAATTTCTTTAAATACTTTGTTGCCATGCATATATAAGGATTTCTCTTATACATTTAAAAAATAACATCTCTGTTACTGATGAATTTAATTCTTGGTAAATGGTTACTTGCATGAGAAAGGGTTACATATTTATTGAAAATATTACTCCTTTTTCTTAAGTTGAATATTAGCCTTATGTGTCTTCCCCCCACCACCCAGGCTGCTTCCATTTGCCTGTTTCATCTTTTAGTAGAGCCATTACCCATTGGTAATTGTTTTTAAATCACCCTGTTAGGATATTTAAATTTATTGATTGCACCAATCTACCATCATTCAAAATTAATCAAGCAAATTTAAATCTTTATATTCTCTATTCCACTTTCATTTCTATGATAATATTAGCATCTTTGTACTCACTGCCAGTGAAAGTTTGTATAATGGTAACCCTTCACTTTCACTTCTGAGCATCTATATTTAGCAATTTCTGAGTATTCTGATTTTTGTAGTTTCTATTTAGCTATATTTCAAATTCTACTGGGACTTAGTTCTATTATTATCTTACTGAGATAAGTCTTTTTCCCTTAAATTTCGTGTTATCCATTATTAATTTTAGCAAAACTCCACTTTATGTAGAGCCTAGTGATAATCAAGCAATAGTCTTAAAAAATAAATAATTATTCTTTTGTGGGAGGTAGGAGATATGAACTGGGGGTGGGGAAAGATAATGAGTCTATTTTTATGCTTTAGTTTTAGCCTAATGATTTCAAGTGTTCAGAGCAGAGAATTGTGGAAATGCTGAGGAACACGATGCACTCATACCTGTTGAGAAAGCGCAGAATACTGATCTCAATTAAGTTCTTGAAACATAATTTAATGATTTAATAACTCACTTTTCTCATCACCTCCACAGAGTTCCTAGAATTTGCATGATTCTTGCCCATGAGTTAAATTGGTTAAAAGGTATGGCATGAGATACCTTTGGGGTCACTGAAGAGTCTGATGGCAGAATAGGTACTACAGATCCTGGAAGAGTATTAATCCCATGAGGTGTCCCAGAACAAAGGGTTTTATGTCACATAAGATTTGAACAGATGTGTAAATAAGTCAGGCAGTGTAGAAAACTCTTTATATATCCAAACCTCGAGCTTTAGCCTCTTCTTAGTTTTTAAAATAACTTTTAATATCCCACATACTATTTTTGAGAAAGACTAGAACAAGGGTAATTTGATAGGAGTTTGAGATACGAATGATGCTAACACAGAATTTATTGTATGAAATGTATTTGAAAGCTTTGTTTTTTGGGTCTTTCCCATTAACATAAAAACATTACTCAAAACAATACTTTCTTAAAAATCAGGGCAAGATTTAATAAGATATTAATCTATTTCTCAAGACAAGAATTATTTCCTTTTAAAGCACTCTGAATATTTAATTCTAAGCACTGTGTCTCAGTGCTTGCTTGCAAAAAGAATAAAAACAAGAACTACATTTGACAGAAACAAATTATTGAAAAATGGGTCTAGAAAAATATTGTCTGAAAATTGTTAAAAAAAAATGTGTGCTATAAAGCCTGTATCTGTCCAGGTATTATTATTATTATTATTATTTTTTTTTTTGGAAAGAGTACTATGGTACTATGGTCTAAGGGCAGTTATAGTGACCTGCAAGGGATATTGATTTTAGTATAAGGTCACAGTATCTGATGTGAAAATGTAGCTTTCTTTGGTTAAGATATCTGAGATACACATACATATATACCTAAAGACATGCATATAATATTATACATATAGATATATATTCAGATATTCACATATCTTGGTTATATCTAGTCAGATATCTTGGACGTGAGGTTATATGTAAATATATATAAAAATATAGGTGTATATATACATATAATACATATATATGCATATATATATATATCCCCTCCCTTGTAGTTTGACTACTGCAAAAGGAAAGTGTTGACTAGAAAATGCAAAGACATGCCATATTTCTAATTCTTCATAAATTAAACACATAGCCATAGGATATGTTTGCCCCTGTTTCTGTGACTCTGGACAGGCTTGTGACACTTCCAGGTATCAAATTCCTACTCTCTGTCCATGAGACGGCACTGAATTCATACAGATAAAAAAGAGTTTGGGATAACATGCTGTCTGTCACCAGCTAGCCTTTTTATATACCTTTCCCTTTATACTCGTAAAACTTGGTTTTCTTTCATTTGCATAGTTTCATTTCGAATTTCTGTTGTAGAGTGAGGTTTAGCTTGACCTCTGCTGCTTTCCATGGGAGAGAGAGAATTCATTTTCACAAATTAAAGATTCTAAATAATATTTTTATATGAATGATTTTCTGAAATATTAAAATATATATTTTCCTTAACTAATATCTACAGTAATCAAGACAAAATAGTGCGTTTTTTAAAATAACCTTTGTGATAATTTTGTATTTTTGCCATGTGTAGGTGTTTCTACAATACAACAAAATTCAATAAAGCAATGTTTGCTTTGTAATTGGTTTGTTTTTCATCATATTGATAACTGTAGGTTTTCATCTTTAACCCCCACATAGTATGTATCACCACTATATTATATTAAGGCAACATTATTTGTAATTACTTTAAGAGCATTTTATGATGCATCTAAGTTAAATAGATCTCTAAAATGTATTGTCCATTTACCATGTGTTTTTAAGGCTATTTTTAAATGAATGAATTCATCTTTTATCTTTTACTATTTGCTTTTTACAGTTACTGAGATAATTATTTTTAAAAACTCAGAAACTTCTTTTGGAGAATTATATCCTACAGTTATAGTTTACCATGAAGAATGGTGAAGTATTTATAAAGTACAATAAGATAGAATATTATTCTTTTGTACCCATCTGTCCCTGAGGTAATTGTTCAATATCCAACATTTCAAACAATTATAATTAACTATTCTAAAGCAATTAAGAAGTATGTACTTGCTTGTAATTCTCATATTTACTTACACTTAAAAATAATTCATTAAAGTAATTCTGTTGAGAAACGTTTGTGGTAATTTTAACTATCTAAAGGTCATTATGGTGTGGTGGAGGCTTCAGATCTGGAAAACAGTGCTGATAGAATGAGCTGTGAAATTTCAGCTACAGGTCATGGTATCAATCATTGTATTTTAATAACTTTTATAGGTCAATGCCAATTCCTAGCTGTCACTTTTCAACCCATACCTGAATTAGAAGACAAGATTATTCATTTTGCTACAAAATATTAATGTGAAGACCTAAAAGTGACAAAATAGTCTATTTTTGGTTTGTCTACAAGCAAGTTTGTTTTACATTAAATGGCTTTTTTACAAATTTGAAATGTGAATATATTTTATTTTTTCCCAGTGAGTACACAATACACAATTGTTTGACAATACTATTAACCAATGTTATGCCAATTTCTTTGCCAATCTAACATCAAATGAAACACATTAAGATTTTGGACACTGTTTGGTGACTTAAACAAACTACAGTTTTAAAAAAAATGCATCTATAAAACAAAGTATAAAAAGTCTACCCACGGCCACAGAATCCCTTATCTTGCAACACTTTTAAAGTCACAATAAATGCTTTTAAAATTATGGAATTAAAAAGAATTAGTAAATTGCATGTCATGTAAAGAAATGCATGGTGCTTCATTTGAAGTACACATTATAAAGAAGGAAAATAAAAGTAACTTCACCTCTAAGATAATGTGGAAAGACATGTAGCTTTACACCAATTCTTGTCATGTAACTCTATAAACACAATATACAGAAGCAGATGAAAAAACTAACATTAGTGAATATTATGGTTCTGCATATCTTTAATACTGACACACAATTGCTTTCCAGTGGAGATAATCCACCGTTTGGAGCTCATTGGCATCATTATTGTTTTATTGTCAATGAACAGTTACATATTTTTATTGAGTAGAAATTAGGAAGTGTTCCACCGAAGCACATACAAACTTTCAACTCAAATTCAATTGAAAATATATTTAAATACCCAGAGCATTAAACTATGACATAGAACACCATTAAATCTGCTATTCAAAGCAAGTAAACTTGCAATGGTTTTACTTCCCTTTGGTTGTATGATAACTTAACATGTTGGTCCTCATTTTCTTATATTCTCTCTTGAATTGGATGCAAATCCTCTGAAGGGATCAATTATTTTCATGCCCCTGTACTATCCTAACTTTTTAAAAAATGGCATGGAAAAGATTTAGAGGAGGGTGGGTTGACTCCCCGGCATACACTGGCATACCTGAGTTTGGGCACTGACATGGTTATTTTCTCCAAAGAGACTTTACCCGTTATAAATGAAGCAGTACTTGTGTCTGTCTTGACTTCACAGCAGTGTTGCCTGTAAGTGCAAGGTAAGTTACATTCTCTCCCACCCACGTTTCCTTCTGATGGCTTTTGTAGGCTCTGGTTAGCCAAGTGAGCTCAGTGAATTTCTAATCACATTCATTCAATCAGCTACACAATGAAAATCTACAAAGGTTCTCTTTTAGATTTGTGTTATTCTGTTGACATTCTGGCTTGTACTGACTGGTAGCTTTATACATGTATCATGTTGATGAAGATTTCTGATTTTTAAGAGTGTTCCTGAATTTATATAGCCATAGCATGTTATTTTGCTCTCTATAAAAGGATGACCATATTGGGTGGAAGATTTGTTGGGCCAATTTAATTAAAACTAGGTTTAATGGGCAACATGGTTTATTCTAAAAGAACATTCCAAGTAACCACAGGGTTTGTATTGCATTACCTAACTGTTAATTTTTTGTGTACTCAAGACAATCAGGAAGGTACGATGCTATGTTCCAATTATTCTACATGTCATCTACATAAAGACATATTTTTTAAGTCTTGGTTTATTAATTGCCTACAAATGCCAGTTACCAGGAGTCAAGAATCTGTATAATCTATGTGATAAAATTTTAGACTAAATTCAGTGATTGAGGAGAAAAAAGATGAAACACAAATGAATGTAACATCTTAGATATTTGTTTTGAAGTAAAGAAGGTGAATTAAGGAACTTCACAAATAAAAAATAAATTCCTCACATCTTAGAGTTGTGAATAATTATGTATTCATTTTTTTGCAGAAGCTTTTTCTCCTCTCCCAGTCTCTTTATCCCAGAGAAATCAAACTGCATGAAAATCCAGGCACTGATGGTAGAAAGTTGATAAAGTGTTTAATAAGTGTGTCTCAGAATTCCTTTTCTCTTCAGTGAAGAAATGAACTACACACGACACCAAGAAGATGTTGGGGCCCATAAAGAACATCACATTCTAGGCTTGCCTGTGCTGATGCAGTCTCAGGGAATTCAAAAGATGGAGCCATTGAACTATGTCATCCCTTTGCTATGACAACAGGACATGAACCGGTGACCGAGCCAATAATGCAGAGTGTGAGACTTATTAAAGGGTCTCCTACTTGAGAACTGATCCTGATTGTTACATCAAATAGTTTTGAAGTACTGAATATATCATAGGAAAAACATAAGAAAATATAGTCAGAGCTAGAATTTAAGATTGTGTAGGTAGCACATGGGAAAAATGTCACAAGTGGGAATTTCAGGAAGGTTATCTTCTACTTGACTGATTGACTATACATGTACAGTAGCTAACATATATTTCAAAATCACATTTATTTTGAGCATACATAACTGATGTTCAGGAACTTCTTGTTCTCAAAGTCGTGAAAACAAATGAGGCAGGACACTGTTATTAATGTCCACTTACAAGATTTGGTTTTATTTAAAAAGTGTATAAACATGCATTTTTTTTCCTCCTTTTTAATTTTTCTATTCAATTTACTCATTCAAAATGGGTCAAACAGATTTTAGTTGGTAGCCAATTTCTGAGAATGTACCATCAAATATTTATTACGATAAACTTACGGACGGTGAACTGAACATACTCTGAGCACTGCTTTTTAAGCACTTGCAATTTGGCTCTACGTTTGGTGAAATCAACTTTACGTCTTAGTCAAATGAAACACAAAGTTGTATATAGACTGCATTTTTTTTCAATCATGAATTTAAGTGATGCAGTTTTATCCTCTAGTGTGTACTGTACATGTATTAGAAAGACAAAACAAGATACTGCAATAGATTTCATGTTTGGAAGCAGCCTGAGTATGTCCTAATAATAAATTGCTTCTTTACTTGCTAGATAGTCTCGAGTTCATTTTGTTTGTTTCCTTGGGGAACTTCATGTTATATTCTGACTTAATGAGTTGGAGAGATTAATTATGGTAATTCAGAAAATGCTGTTTTAAAAAGCTGTAATATAAATACAGCTCTTGTGAAACACCTTAATTTCCTTTTGCTTGTCGCCATTCTCAGATGGGTCAATTACAATGACAGGTAAAGTTGATTCTAAATAAAACTTTAATTATCTTTTTTTTAAAGCAAGTTTAGTACATCTTTGCTACCTGCATATTTTAATGCATATTCAGCCTAAAGACTTAAAATTCCTTCTTTTGACCCCTTGCTTTTGTCAATAGCAATATCCATCTTTCTTCTCTTAAAAACAGACTCAATTCCTGATGTTCAGACTTTGCCAACACCATTGTTCCTTTGCATCTTCCTATTTCTACACCCCAACTGAAAACCATCTAACAGGATGGGTTACACCAGCATTATCCAACCTAGCTTACAGTACAGAAACCCCCTTCACATTCAATCTTTTCTTCATGTCATGAGGAGTAGAGATTTGTGCTTATCACCAAATAAAATTGCAGTGCAAAATTTAAACATAAAAGTTACACAATTAAAAGTTAATATATGGCACCACAGCCTATTAATTCACATATAGTACAACAGACCAATAAGAACAGACAATAATAGGAACAGAGCTAAAAAGAGTGAGCTTGCATAGCAATGCACGAAAGAAATTATATACAGAGGAAAATCCTTTTCTTCCTGGAGGGCGAGTTTTGTTTTCTTTCTTTTTTTTTTATATACTCCTGACAAGAAAGAGTTAAGGTGGGTGGTGTACTTAAGAGAAGAACACAAGTAAAATATCTGTGGGATATGTGTGGCTGTGTGTCTTTACATTGCATTTACAGTTCTTTTAATAGTACATAAATAAAAGAAATTGTTCATTGCACTGTTTAGTGTCATCACGTCCATGAGTTGGGACCTGATGGTCCTTCAGAGCAGCTTTGTATGTCTCCTCTCAGTTACTCTAAAAAGAGATGGAAACAAAAGTCAGGAATAAAGCTCAAGAGTTAAATGATGCATTCTTCTATCCTGACCCGCATAATCAAAATCAGAGAAACCGGATAGTAAATGAAGATGAGGTCATCAGAAAGATCTTGGTGAGTTTGTGCAATTCATTTTCGTTGAACCAGAAAAACAAGGAAAATAGAAACACTGTAGAATCTGGAGATTTAAAATTCAACTAGAGCTCTATTTTTTTTTCACTCCTTGCACACCTACGATTATTTCAATATAAAATTTAAAGAAAATTTCAAGTACCCATGGGCCAAATGAAAAATTATAAATAAATCTTAATACTGATCAGATTAATAATAGCCAATAATGATAACTCAGATCCATAAACAACAAGTTTGAAAGTATTTTCCCTTTTCATTATCTCATGAGCTCCTCCAGCCTGTGATGTGAGCATAATGGTAATCATAAACTATTTTTCCATGAGGAATTCAAGAGATCAGAAAAGTAGCTTTGTCTTCTCATGAGCCATAATCAGGCAAGTGGTTGAGAACATGAGAAGCCATGGCTGTTCTGTTAACAGCCTTGGTTAAGCTGAATTCAAAGAAGCAGTTGACAATGTTAAGCAGGCATCATTCTGATAGGGAATAGGGAGTTGGTAAATTTCCTGATGAAATTAACACAAATTCAATGTTTTTAAATGGACGTACTGTGACATCCCTATTTTTCACCATTACCTCATATTTTTATATTTAGAAAATATGAAATCCAATGCCAGTTCTTCATACAAAAAGATAAACTTAATCAATAGCTATATCATTATAATTAAAATATTGTGAACTAACTCAAATCAAAGATCAAATTTTTTTTAAGATTGACTCGATAAATTAAAAAAAAAATGAATGAAGAGCAAATAAATGAAGAATAGGAGGAACTCCTAAGAAGACTCTTTAAAGTACCAAAGGGCTAGAATTTCTCTCTTTTTAATTGTGCTGAGTTTAAAAGAGCAAGAAAAGTACCCAGTGAACTACATTTAATTTAACTTGTAAGTGTTGAGACTAATTGCCCACATTTAAACAATTTTTTGTTGTTTTATGGTTGTTTTTTTGATGCTGGGGTTTGAACCAAGGGTGCTCTATCCTGAGCTACATCCCCAGCCTTTGTTATATTTTATTTTGAAACAGAGTCTTACTAAGTTGCCCAGGTTGTCCTCAAGCTTGTGATCCTCTTGCCTCGGCCTCTGGTAGCTAGAATTACAGGTGTGCACCACCATGTTTAAAGTAATTCTTATGTAGCATAAATCAACTTGAAATATAAATAAAATATTTATGTCATTGACCTGCTGTAAATAGCAATCATCTACGTTATGACCAAACTTGTTAAAAAATCATTGATTTTTTTTTCCTGTAGCAGGGAAAAGAAAGTTTTCTATCATTCTTAAATTTGTTTAATATGAAAATATTACTAATCTAATATACTTTCTGAATCACAATAAACCGTTATTTTTATTATTTTGGTACTGGGGATTGAACTCAGGGATGAGCTACCCTTGAACTACTAAGCCCAGGGCTTTTATTTTTCATTTTGAGACAGGGTCCTGTTGAGTAGCTGATGGTTTCACTAAATTGCTGAGGCTGGCCTCAAACTTGGAATTCTCCTACCTCAGCCTCCTATGTCTTAGGGATTACAGCTGTGCCACAACATGCTTGGCTATGATAGCCTTTTAAGTGACCTAAAACACTTACATAATTCACCTGTAAACTGTCCTTGACTATTTGAGCCCATATATCCTATGTCAAGAAGGTCACTGGCATTGCGCTGGTGGCCTCCCCTCAACACTTCCGGTTTCCTGGGTCCAGTGGATCCTTTAGAAGAAGCTGTTCCTGATGAGCTGTGGCCACCTGGAGATGGGAAACTGGGCTTGCTATAGGGCACCAAGGCCTCCTCTGAAAAAGAAAAAAAAAAAAACAAACCATAAACCATAAAGGGCTAAATTGAACTGCAGCCCTGGAAAATGACACAAATTTAACTCTTACAAGTTAAGCTCAG